CTGAGCGGAACATCCCATCATTGCTCCCAAGGAGACCGGATCATTTCCCAGGGCAGGAGGCAGCCAGGACCCACGCTGCTGTGCAGGGGCACGGAGCATCTCAGCAGGAGTGTTTATGAGAGCCGCAGAGCACTGGAGGTTGCAGGGTTTAAATAAACTTGAAACCCGACTCAACTTCCTTCCCCAATTTCACAAGCTCTGCTTCCTGAGTCGCTGCTGGCTGGGCACACTCATGTGCTGCACTCCCCCCAGTCGACACTGCATTTGGGGTCTCGGGGAGTTTTTCTGCAGCCATCCCCACTCCTCAGCCCCCCCCTCCACGGCGCTGAACACTCTCCAGGTTTACACACACCATCCTGACACAGCAAAGCCACACACCCTGGGGAGCGGGGCCCTGTCTGGCCACCAGCCCCAGAACACGGCTCTGAGCTGCTGGAGCCGCCTGCGAGCCCACGTGCCCAGCAGAGGGGCACCCCCAGCCCCAGGTAACCAACGTGCTCCAGGATGGAGCAGCAGCTGCAGAGCGAGCTCACCGTGAAGGTCACCTGCCAACGGAAGCAGACGCTGTGCCTCCCCAGGACTCCAAGTGAGCACCCGGAGCACGAGGAGCCCTGGGCTCCCTGCCCGGCCCCCGAACGTGGCACAGTGCACCTGGCTCAGCCCCTCGCTCCCTCCCGAGCCAGGCGGCCCGAGGTGCCCACAGAGCAACGCGTCAGGCTTCACGCTGACGGCAAAGGGAAGGCAGCCCTGCCTGCAGCCACAAGCTCGCCGCGAGGCCAGCAGCAGCCACTGGGCCTGCGTCCCTCCCTGCTGACGGCAGCGCTGCGGCAGCCACCAGCCATTTCACTGCTGGCACACAGGAAGCACGAACACACCCCCCTGTGCCCTAAATAACCCCCCCCCACCCAGCTCTGCGGGACCCCAGCGCCAGCCGGGGATCTTGGAGGGGAGCGGAGGAGATTTAAGCTGTGCATTGAGGTTGACAGCAAGAAACACCACAGCACCTCCCCTGCCTCATTGTGCAGGGCAGGACAGCTGCGGGAACCAGGGATCAACAGGGATGGGGCAGCTCCACCAGCCAACCCCAGCGACACCAGAATTGGGTCCTGCCTGGTGGCTGCAGCACCTCCTGACAGCAGTGGGACCACGCGCATCACCCATTTAACCCCAGCAGCACACAGCACCTTCCCCCAAAATCCCAGTATCCAGCATCCAGCATCCCTTTCCCCCACACTGGTGAGCCCACCTCGCTCTCACCAACAGCAGCAACACAGAGACCAAATAAACATCACAGCTGCACCTTCACGTTATTATAAAGGAACAAAAGGGAGATTTTGTCCCCATTCTGCCACACCCAAAGGTATTTAATCCTCCTCCTCTCTACCCCATCCCAGGAGCTGGAACTGCACGGATTGCACGGTGGGTGGGGACCGAGGGCTCCGCAGCCCTGCTGCTCCCCGGCAAGGTGCCACACAAAGAGAATCCTCGCTGTGCTGGGAGGGGACCCAGCGCCAGCCCCCCGGGGCTGCTTTGACACAAAAGCAGTGGGGCGAGAGGCTGTTTCTCGCCAGCCCCCGACCTGCCTGCTGCCTGCTTTGTCTCGCAGCATCCTCACTCCCAGCCCTCCTTTGTCTTCACCTCTGCTACGACATCACCCCACCGCTGCACCAAGCGGGGATCACTTCACCAAGAAGAAGGTGGGAGAGGGATGGACCCTTCCTTTCCCACCCCAGCTCTCACCATGGATGCCCCATCCCCACCAAAATACCGCATGGGGAAGGCTGTGCACTTCCAACACCTCCTGCTCATGATCCCGTCGTGCACAGGACAGCTCTGGCCCCGTGGCACACAGGGGATAAAGGATGAGGTAGAAACAAGCAACCAAAGCAGCCCCACAGCCACCACCCCTGACAGCACTGCTTGAGAAAGGAACACAGCCCCGGGCCTTTGTTACGAGGCTCCATCCTAAGAAAAGCGCAGGATGGAGGATGGGAAGAGTCTGGCCAGCAGGAAATCTCCACCCGCAGCCGCCGGCATCACTCGGACCCCGGGTCAGTGTCCTGCATGGACACCCCGTCCTGCCTCCACGCAGGCACCGTAGGAACACCCACATGACAAGGATGCTGTCACCTCCCCACTGCTCCCCAGACTGTGAGACTGCAGCCCAGCTCAATTCTCAGCCCCCTGAATGGAGAGGTGCAGAAAACCCCAATGCTATTTGCAGGGCAGCGGTGCTGGGAGGTGTTTGGGTGCACACACACGTGGTACACGCAGCCACACACCCACCATTTCCCCTTCATCACTGACACTGCACCCAAAGCATCTTTTGTGCTCTTGCTGTGCCCAGGCAGCACCTCTGTGTATCCTCCATCAAGGACTAATGCAGACCCACCGCAGCATCCTATCAGCACCCCATGGTGCCACACAGAGGGTCCACACCCATAGCAGTAACACAGCAACCTCTGCCTCCCCAGAGCTGCCCCATCCCACAGCTCCATGATGGAAAACAATGCAGAAGCAGCTGGATGGGGAAGGGCCCAATCATCCCTCATCCTGCACAGGACTCAGTGCTCCCAGGGCTGGCCTGGAAGGCGCGGGCTGAGCCAGGCAACCATAGGGCGAGTGGGAGGAACACGCACATCCAGTTCACACCATGCGGACGGCAGCTCCGGGTCTGTCCCTGCCTTCCTCAGTTGATGGGCTCATGATGGGTGGGGGATGCAGGGACTCCTTCCTCCTTTTCCAATAGAGAAAAGCAAAGAGAACAGCACCGAACCGCAGGACCCCAGCGGCAGCACTCAGAATACACCCAGCCCGGTCCAGCGCTAACAAAGAGCCCCTCACTTTCATCCCTCTTCCATCCATCACCATGCAAGAGGTTTGGGATGTGCCCACCGCCTGCAGTGCCGCTCAGGGCCTCAGCCCCGACCCCCCCCTGCAACCCACGAATTAGGTGCTGCCGGCAGCTCCTTTATTTAGGTGCAGGAGCCGTAAGGCGCATTGTTCCCAGCTCAGAGGCAGCACAAAGGACACGGAGATGCTGCAGAGACGTCCCCCCCCCACGCACACACACGCAGACATTGCGGGTGACCCCCTCCTCAATGTCCCTTTGACACCATCCAGGGGAGGGGGTCTAAGCCCTGACCGCGCCGCATGAAGACGGCCCGGGGGTCCCCCCGCACTGCGGGCTTCAGCGATGGAGCCTACGGGGTCTTGCAGGGTTGGAGCAGCCCCACGGCAGCACGGAGCGGGACGGGGGGACAGCGGGCACGGCTCGGGGGTGCCGGCGCAGAGGGGATGGGCACGGAGCCCCCGGGGCTGCACAGAGCTCCTTCCTCCCCCCGGAGGCCGCACCCGCCCCGGGACCCCGAACCCCGCAGCCCCGCGCTCACCTCACCGCCACCTTCACGCAGCTGTCCGGGGCCGCCATGCCCCCACCGCCCCGCACCGCGGCCACCGCTGCCCGAGAGCATCCGCGTCTGCGGGAGGAGGAGGAGGAGGAGGGAGGGAGGGAGGAAGGAGGCGGAGGAGTAGGAGGGGGCGGCGGGGCGGCCCCAGGTGCCGCGGGGCGGGGCGGGGCGGGCCGGGCGCTGCCGCCGGGGTCGCTCCCGCAGCGGGGGCTCCGCCGCGCCTCGGCCGCAGAGAGCGGGGCCGGGCCGGGAGGGGCGGGGCGGGGCCAGATGGGATCCGCCCACCGGCAGCGCGGCCACGAGGCCGCCGGGCGCGGAGGTGTTGCGGGGTGCGCGGCCCCGCGCGGACGGACCTCGCATGAACACGCGCACGCGGACAGCCGTCGGTCCCTGCTGCCCTCTGCCGGGTCAGCGGCGCCGCTCCGGGGCGAGCGGGCTGCAGCCGGGTGTGCGGGGCTGTGCAGAGCTGTGCGGGGCTGTGCGGGGCTGTAGGGAGGCTTTATAGGGGTGTGCAGGGCGTACGGAGCTGTGCGGGGCTGTACTGGGATGTCCGGTTTTCCCGAGCTGCACAAAGTCCCCAGCCTCAAAAAGAGACGCAGAGTTCTGCACTTCACCCATAAACCTCCACTGTCCACCTTGTAGGAAAAGCAGCACGTCCTCAATATCCACCAAACAGAGCAAATGCCAGACAGCTCTGCAGCCCCACAGCGCTCAGGAGGTGTCAGGGGGTGTCCTGCCCTGGGGCAGCACCCTGGGGTGCAGGGCTGTCCCTATGGGTTCTCTGCTGCCTGCGTCCCCTCTGCCAGCACAGCTCTGGCTGCAGATGGAGCTCAGCAACAGCCACCTCCCTTTTATTAAGTTAACAAAACGCCCTGCTGGAGAGCAGACATGCCCCGTTGATTCAGTATCTCTCCTGGGACCTATCAGTTTGCTGCGTTTTGATAGATATTAGGCAAAGAAAACTAGTGTTCAGTTTGGATGGGCTGGAGGCCCTCTGAAGCAAGAACCCTGCCAAAAGCTGACCCAGGGGGACAGGGCTGCCCCAGTGCTTGGCAAACACATTCCTTCTGGGGCACTGAAGTCCGTAAAACTGAACCCTCAGGCAGACCCCTTCCTGCAGAGCAATGACCCCTCTGCAAAGTTCCCAGCCTCAGGCAGATCTGCTCCAAGCCATGCTCCTCTGATGGTGCCCATCTCCTCCCGCAGGTCAGGCTGGGCTGCAAGCAGGCGGAACAGGGTCTGGCAGGGACATGACTCAGGGTGCAGCTGCTGGGATGCCAGTGTGTAGCCATCCTTAAAGTGACTGACTGAGGCAGGAGCACATGGGAGTGGGGAAAGATCTCAGGACCAGGACTGGGGCTGCCACATGAATCACAGAATCATTAAGGTTGGAAAAGTGCATTAAGATCACCAAGTCCAACCACTGGCTCATCCCCACCGTGCCCACTAACCACATTTCTAATCACTGCCAGCTCTTCTTAAAGCCCCTTCCCCCAGCTGGTCTGAGTCTCTGCCAGCTCAGGCAGGCAGCAGCCTGCAGCCAGGAGAGCAGAGGAAGGAGGGGACAAGGGGAACCCACGGAGTCACACAGCAGGGATACTTTAATGATCTGTCCAGCTCCTGCAAGATCCTTCTGGCACAGCATCATCCTGTCCTGTCACCAGCATCCTGCAGACCCAGTCCAAAAAGCCTCCTGCAGCCAGACAGAGCCCATCAGCACTGCTCTGTTATCCCTCCTAATGGGGCTGTACCCATGGGCTGCATGGCAGGCGGCTCACAGGCGAGCAGCAGAACTGGTCTGATGGGATGTGGCCACACTGAGCCCTGGGGTGCTGACTCCTGATGCAGCCAAGGTGTCCTGGGGGGCAGAGCTGCTTTCTGTGTCCCGCAGTGCTTCTCTTCCCTTTAGCAGCTCCACTGCTGCTTTCTCCACTTCATCCACCTCCAGCTGACTGCCGGCTGCCATCTCATCCCTGGTCACTGCAACGAAGGATGGGTCGCGGGCCAGAGCTGCGAGGCCCCCGGAGATCAGAGCCTGCAGCAGAGGAAAGGATCACAGCCCCGCATGGAATAAGTCTGTAGCAGAAGGGCTCACGCTCACTGCCTTCGCCCTGCTGCCCACCTCCCTAGCTAAGCTCTTCCCCTCAGTTTCCCACCATGGAATCTCACCACCCCATTTTCCCTCTGCCAGTCTGCACATTACCTCTTGAATGAGGAAGGTGATGGCAGGAGTGGAAGTTGTATTTGTGTCAGTGCTTTCATGCCACCGGGGTTCTGAGCTGGATGCTGCTGCTGTCACTGTGCTGTCCTGGATGAAAGGAGGAAGGAGCTGCAGCTCAAGCATGATGATGATCATGGAACACCCCTGTGTTAATTTTTTCAGCCGCAACCCAGGCTGCACAGGGATTCCCATCCTTCTGAATTTCCTGGGTCCAGTGCAACACCACCAATGGGACCAGCAGGGAATCAGCCTTTACCCCCCTACCTGGGCACTGAGGCAAGAGCCAAGCACCCAGGTGATAGGGCACAGACAGCCAAGGGCAGCAGAGGAGTGTGGGATCAACTCTGAGACCCTATTTTTTCTGACCTGTCTCCAGAAGCATGAGGGATGCTGCTCTGAGCTTCCCCAGCATGGATCAGCACTGAGGTGGGGGCTCCTTCCCCGAGCTGATGAGGAAAGGAGGCTCCAGCAAAGCTGGGCTCATGGCAGGGAGATGCTCCTTCCCAGGATGTTTAGCCTATGACCCCACTTTGCTTCCCTTGGACTCACGCTGTCCCCTTTACCTGCTGGGGATGGAGGCACTGCCCTGATGCTGGGTGATGCTCAGAGGCAGCTCCTCGCCTCCGCCGCAGCCTTTCCAAAGGGATGGGGAGGTCAGTCTCTAGGAGAGGGAAAGGTGGGAATATCAGATGGGCACACAAGCAAGGCCATCACAGCCCAGAGGGGATCAAAACCAAGGAGACTGCATATAGGGGATGGGACCAATGGAAATCCCAGCTCCCGCCTCTGCCCCACATTTGCTCCTCAATCCAAGTCAGGAAGGAGGAATGGTCCATGATCCTCTATTCCTGAAAATGAACATGGCCTTGTGGCCTCACTGCATGGGGTCCCTGGTCCTGCCTCAGCCCAAGGCACAGCTCCATGCTCCACCACCATGCAGGTGGGGAGGTGGTCCCTTGGAGCTTTCCAGACAGGTCCCACTGAGCTCAGGGGTCTCAGTTGGCCTTCCAAGCTGCTAGGAGCTGCACCTCCTCCTCCTGCATTCTGTCACCAGCCCCTTCCACCACCCCGGACAGGCTGACATGCCCCACAACAGGAATGATGCTGACTCACCCCGTGCTTTAGGCCTGGGCACTGCTGGCACTGCTCTCCTCAGCACCTCGTCCTCGTACTCCAACCTGGTAGGGACAGGCAGAGGGGTCAGCAGAGCAGGGACCACCACCCTGAACCCAGGATGCAGCCCTCCCCATCTTCTCCACTCTGGGATGGGTGAATAATGTGCAGACCCCAAGAATCAGGATAAGGATGTTCTCTTACACTGGTAACCCTTATACCCGCATTAGGCACTGGTGGCCCTTGGCACTCAGAGATTGGTGGGGAAGAGAAAAGATCATCCCTGCATTTCCTGTGTCTACCTTGATCCTAATGGCCCTAAGATGAAGGAATGATGAGAAAGGTGTTTAGGGCACACAGTGCATGGAGTCACACATTAACCCTATACGTTAATAATTAGGGTCCTCTTATAGAGGAGGAAACTGAGGCAGGAAACAGGCCACGCAGGATGTCCTGATGCTCAGGGAGAAGAAAGAAACACTGACATATTCCTGGTTTTCATGGTCCTCTCCAAGGGCCATAACTGCTGTTGCCCCAACGCGTTGCAATGGGGGTAGGTACACAGCCCACATCCAGAGCGTGCCCACCCTGCACATCCCATCCTGGGACATCTCTGGCGATGCCTCCCATACCAACGGCCAAATTTCTCCACAAAGCTTCTGTGTCTGCAGGGTCATTTCTGCACTGGCACCCAACCTGATTCCCCCCCACAGCCCGCAGGGAGCTCAGCAGCCCTTACCCCTGCAGCCAGTTGGCGTTGTTGACATTGGTGTTGCCTTCCTGGGGGAAATCGTCGAGGAAGACAGGGGAGTCGAGGTCTTCACTGCCCACCTCTGTAAACTGCAGGGGCCTCTGGCTGGCCATGTGGGGCTGCAGGGGGCTGCTTGGCTCCAGGAAGCTGTCCACCTGGCCAAACAAACCGCCCGTCCTCTGCAAGCAACAGGAGGGCATCAGGAGGAGATGCAGAGCTCTGGAGCCATTCCCATGGAGGAAATGCGTTTGGGTGCCCATGGGAATGGCAGCTTCGTGCTTGTGGTGTTCTAAGCTGCATTGCCCAGGTGGGGAAACTGAGAGGAGATGTGATAAATGTCGTGCAGCAGCACTGGGGTGTGTCAAACCCTCTGGGCTGGCAGCACTTTTGGACACAGCAGAAATTCTTTACTGTGAGACCAGAGCCCAGGCTGTCCAGGATGCCCTGATGCTCAGGGAGGAACACTGTTATATACTTCTTGCTTATGGTCAGACTCATCTCTGAGGACTTTTCTATCTGCTGTACCCATGCTGAGCCCCAGTACATGGCAGTGGGGCTGGGTAGGACAGCTCCCACTGCTGTGCTCACCCTGTATATCCCCTCCTCCATGGCAGCTTCCACCATTGCTCTCTCAAGCTCCTCCTCAGCAGTCAGGTCTCCAGAGATGGCTCTATGAATTTCAGGAGCAGCTTCTTCTTCAATGCTCCTCAGCCCAGCCTGGTGGGGACAGGAAAGCATGGCTGGATGTGGGCTGGCACTACAACCCCTCTCACTTCGGGTTTTAGAGAGGGAATTGTGTTAGAGTTTGGTCCCCGGGCCACAGTGAACCACGCTGCCCTGCCAGCTGCCCCTCCCAGAGATCCTGTGGCTGGTTGATTCTATGCTTCGTGACCAACTCAGCACTGATTCACCTGGGGCCACCTCATTGCCAGAATCTGAGGGACAGAGGACCCCATGTCCATTTCACCCCTGTCTCTCCCAGTCACCAAGGTCTTTCTAGACTTGGGAGAGCCCCCTTCCCCTGTCTGCAGGATGCCCCATCGTGCCCTCCTGTCCTCACATAGCATCACCCCTCCACCAACCACACTACCAACCTGGATCTCTACAGGGTTCTTCTTGGGCCGGTACCCATAGTACTCCTCCTGGCGCTTCATGAACTTCCTGAAATGCTCTTGGATGAGGAAAGTAGCATAGAATTTACCCACGGTCACCTCATCATCTGGAGGGGAGGAAACCAACCTGATGACTTTGCCCACCATCATGCCCTGAATTGCTGCAGCAGCTGAGCCCCCCGGGCAGGGGGAGGTTGGCCCCTTGGGAAAGTACCAGTGGTGATGTACCTCCAATAGGTGGGATGACCTGGTCCAAAAGCTTCATACTGGTTCGCTTCCAGATTTTTTTGATAATGGTTCTGAGCTCCTCATTGGCCTGTTCAAAGTTACCTGTGGGAAAAGGGAGGACAAAGAGATTCATTCTCAGGGGAATATGGACATGAACAAAGACAAAGTGTGTGGAAACCTGGCCAGGCTCCTGCAGGGTGTGACAGCTCCTCGGCAGTCTCCCCACCCAGCAGACATGAGCTTTGTAGAAATTAGGCTTTGATTTTAGCAAAAAGTCTGTGCGCATCCATGCTCTCAGATCTCCTGTGATCCTCCCAATGCTCCCTGCATTGTGCTGGATGCTGTGTTCCCCACCCCAGCTGAAGGGAAGGCACCGTGCCCTGCTACTGGGAGATGCTGGCCTCAGCTGGCCCCACTGCCCAGCTCCACCTCCTGCTGTGCTGGCTTCTCATGTGCTGCTGCCTAACCCACGGGCATGGAAACAAGTTGGTGTGGTTTCTTACCAAAGCAGAGCTTTGCAAACCATGCTGCTGGCAAGGAAGAAAGCAACTCCTCCCCAGCACAGCTAAATTCAAAGAGGAGCCATCCTTTTCCACTCCAGTCTGAGGTTTATGCACACCTGGGGAGATGCAGAACTGGAACAACCAGTGCTATGGCAGGTGCAGGGGATCAGACTACACTCAGCAGTGTGGGAAGGAATCCAGCAGCTGAGCACTAAGGCAGGAATTGGAACTGGGTCAGAACTGCTCCTGAGCTGCAAAGTGAAGATACACAGCTGGGGTGGCATTGGTTTGCTCATCACGGTTGCAACACGTAGCCCTGCAACTAACAACCCCCAGGCTTGGCCTGATCCCCACACGTGCCCATGGTCTCTGGTCCAACACTGATATAAAGCTGAGGGTTGGAACAGGGGGTCTTGCCCACCAGCAAGGTGCCCTGAGGTCCTCAGACAGGGCAGAGAAGGGTGCATAACGTGCACCCTGCAGCACAAGGAGAGAGTTCCCCATGCTGGGGAAGCAGACAACAGCCTTCATACCTTCTGTCTTGATCTTGAGGGCCGTCCTCACCAGCGCAAAGAGTGTTGCATTGAAGGTGACAGTGCCATCGCTGTTCAGGGGCATGTTCATGCACACCAGGCGCTGCGAAACAACCAGCAACCGTGAGCTGGGTGGCAGAGCAGGCTGTAAGCTCCCCACAGATGTACAAGCTGCCCTCCCTGTGAGCCTCACAGAGCCCCTGGCTTTGTGCAGAGCTACACCAGGGGCAGTGCACCCAAGACTGTAGAGCTGGAGGCTTCACCTCCCCCCATGGAGATGAGGATGCACAGATGGGGAGCACCCCAGCACAGCTTGGAAAACTCTTTGCAATGAGGGCTGTGGGGGAGCAGCACCTCAGTGCCATTCCTTGGGGGTGGAGATGAGCTCAGACGAGGGCTGAATCCCAGAACCCTGAAATGCATCAATTCCATCCAGGTTGCAGTATTGCTCATTTCCCTGACAGCTCCTCTTCAGTAAATACCAGAAGTCAGAGTATGAGCATGAAGATGACATTGGAAAGCCAGCTGAATTCTCCTCCTCATCCTCCCAGGGGAGGATGCAACCTGGGAAGGTGCCCTCTGCCCACATACCCTCCCATCTCCTTGACTCCTACCTTACAAGCTACACGGTGAGGGCAGAACTTCCCAAAGCCCAGGGGAGGTTGGATACGTCTCAGCAGGGTCACCACATCCAAGTGCTTGATCCTGCCCCTGCAGAGGAGACAAGCTGTGTCAGCAGGGCTGTGGCATGCAAACAGGGACAGGGTTTTGAGCAAGGGCTGCGTGGGATCATCTTCATGGCCTGCCCTGTACTCCTGTGGTGGGCAAATCCCTTCTCTGTGCTCCTTTTGGGGGAAATGACTGCTCCCCAAGGCAACTGAGGGTAGATACAGATGAGCAGTGGCATGAAAAGAGTCAGCAGCAGCTCTGGACTGGATGAGGCTAGGACAGGAGGTCTGGTGTCCCCAGACCTCCTGATGGCTTATATCAGCTCTGGGACAAGCTGGCAAGTCCACACACACTTCTACTGTGGGATCTAATGCCAGGCAGCACTACAGCTCACTCTGCCCTGGGTTGCAGCAAGGGCAGCCCCAGGTCCTGGCACTGCTCTCCACCTGCCATGCCACATGGTCACTCACTTGGCCTCAGGGTCGTACTCAGCCCAGATCCGTTTGAACTCGTCCAGGTGGTGGGGGCCCAGGATGGACCAGTCACGTGTGAGGTAGTCAAAGTTGTCCATGATGACGGCCACAAAGAGATTAATGATCTGAGGGCAAAGGAGAGGGTTGCTGTCTTGAGTCAGAAGGGGCTCAGGGTCCTCAAATCAAGGATGTTTCTGATGACCCCATACAGAGCTGAACCTCCCATCCAAGGGCACTCTGTGAAAGGCTGCAGCAATTCGGGGCAGCTCTCCCCCCTCCACCCTCATAACAGACAACATGGACACTCAGTGCCTGCCTGGACAGCAGCACATGGAGCTGTGTGATGGAACTCAGGGGATTTGGGGCCTCAGTGGAGTGCAGCACCAGGCGTAACATGGCCAGGGAGGTGGGCTGGGGGATTTGTGCCTCTGGGAGGAAGGTGCTGTGGGGTCAGCCCCATGAGATGCTCAGCAGCCAGGAGCTGCCCCGAGCCAGGACTGGTGTGTCAAAGGGAGTTCAGACTGCAGCAGCTGCCATACCAGGAAGGCACAGAGCATGTAGAAGCTGATGAAATAGAAGTAGGCAAAGCCCGTGCCACAGGTGTACTCCTCGCCCTCCGCGTAGTCGGACTCAGGGTCGCACCGCTTCCCATAGCTGCAGTCCAGCAGGATCTCCTGCCAGGCCTCCCCCGTGGCACACCTGGGGAGAGGGGTTGCTGCTGGGATCTGTTATTGCACGCTCCGCCGTGAAGTGTTTGGAGTCAAGGGAAGCCCTGGTCTGCTTTTTTGTTTCTCCTTGATTTTTCTGAAAATTCACTGATTAAAATCTAGTCTTGGAAGGAAACATTCAGAACAGAAACCCCACAGGGCTCCTGGTCTGCAGCTCAGCCGCACCAGGCGAAGCAAGAGCCACCCCTAAAATGCTTCCATTCCTACAAGACATTTTTTTCGAGGAAAGCAAATTAAATCAGCTGCAGACATGCTGGTGTCCCTTACTCCAAACCAGAGAGCTTTCACACTGACCTGCAGCCCAGCTCCCTCCTGCAGCCGCCACCACTGACCTGAAGAGCAGCAGCACAGCTTGTGGGAAGGTTTGGAAGTTGTTGTTTCGGTTGATCTGTGTTCCGTCCACCATGGCAATCTTCCCAAACATCTGTAAATCACACTTTCAGGTCTCCAGCATCCTTCCTCAGGCACTCTCTACCTTTCAAAGCCCCTCTGTCCTTAAGTTCCCTTTCTGCTTGGCTTTGGGTGCTGAGGCTTTTGGGGTTGGGGGCATCCTTGTAAACCAGGGAAAAATAGTCCCAGCACATGTAGTCCCTGGGAGTGGGTGGCAGAGAAGCCAGTCCCTCTCCATCCCATCTCCCAGATGCTACCAGGCTGAGGTCTATCTCTGTTCAAGAGGAATTCCCTGTGCCCCTCTCACCTGCATCCCAATCACAGCATAGATGAAGAACAGCATCACGATCAGCAGGGCAACATAGGGCAGAGCCTGTGACAAAAGGACCACAGCGTGTGAGAGACATTAGCACAGGACCAAGGTGACCCAGGGACAACGGGCTGGCTCTGGAGCTGCTCAGGGGGTCAGCACTTTGGCCTGCACGTGGAGAAAAGACAGCTTTCTGCTCCTCTCACCCCCCAGACACCCTCCCACCAGCCTCACACTCCAGTTCTGGTGCATGGGATGCCCAACTCTCTGCAGCCTGAGGGGAGGAGTTCTCTGCCAGTCCAGGGTGGGTGCTTGTCTATGGAGGGGAGTGCTGTTCCTCACAGACCTGGAAGGATTTGATGAAGGTCCACAGGAGGGTCCTGACACCTTCTCCCCGGCTCAGCAGCTTCACCAGCCGCATCACCCGGAACAGCCGGAAGAAAGTGATGGAGACACGGGAGTTGTCATCCGGGTCCTGCAGGCAGAAGAGGACAGCAGACAAGAGAGGAACAGATCTGGGGGGGTAGGGGTCCCCAGTCCTCCAGAGATGGGGCAATCGCAGCTTCTCTGGAGAACCTCTTCCAGTGCCCAGCACCCCGGCACCCCTAAGAAGATTCCCTGGGGACAACTGGGGGCACAGGGATGCACCAGCCTCAGCCTCACAGCCTCACAGCCAAGCTCTACCCGTCTTTGAAGCTTGGCACTTGGGCTTCCAGAGGGGAGATCTGCACACCAGGAAAAGCAGCAGGGCTTGGTGTGTCTTCATGACATGCAGGACACATGCACGTGCTGGCCACAGGAAGGCTGGCAAGGGTAAGGGCAGCAAAGGGGGAAGGGAACCACTGCAAGCACATGCAGCTGATATTTACAATGTTATCACAGCCTCCGCCAAGGCAGTACAATCCGCCACTGGATGCAAGAACAGTCTGTCAAGAGAACAAGAGAGTCAGCAGAAGGGAGGCAGAAATGAGAGACAGAGGAATGATTGCAGGAAGTGGTGGTGCAGACACAGAAGAAAGAGTAAGACAGAAACTGGGGACAGGAGGAGGAGACTGAGAGGAGCACAGGGGAAGGATGGGCAGGAAGCCAACATTGGGGCTCATCAGACAAGGCACTGTGTCTTTTGCGGGGCAGACAGATGGCCATAGGAACACAGTGACCACGAGGGACTTATCACCTCCATGCCCCATTGCATCTCACCCACTGCGCCTGGGACAGAGCACACTGGCCAGGAAATCTGTGCACAAGCTCAGGACAGGAGGATTTAGCTGCCTGCCAGCAGTTACCTCCCAGACCAGGCACAGGACTGCGGCAGGTGGGATCTGGATGCCAGCTGACAGGTTGAAGCAAACCCACAGCTCCCTGCCCTGCAGGCTGTGCTGCTCTGCTCTGCCTCTTTGAAAACCCAGCACACAGCACTGGTTTGCTGGGGAGCCAGCTCCGATGGGCACAGGTCCTGCCAGCCCCATGTTCTCCACAGGGCGGCACTGCCAGAGGGTCTCCCACCTCCACTTCCCCCTTCCTGAGACCAGAGGGTGCCCCATCCCTGGCGGTGATGAAGGCCAGGTTGGGTGGTGGGGCTCTGGGCAACCTGATCTAGTGCCTGATTTAGCAGCTGGCAACACTGCCCACAGCAGGAAGGTTGATCTTTGAAGTCCCTTCCATCCCAAGCCTTCCTATGATTCTATGAATATCCCATGGGGTCTGTGGGAACCTGGTGATGGAACAATAGTGAGAACTTGGGCTTTGGGAGGATAAAGGGCTCCTGATAGCACATTCTCATCTCCGACAGACAAAGACATGGAGTGGAAAAGAAGCAGAATGGAAAGAGAGGAAGAGAGGACAGACTTTGCAAACCAGAGCCTTGGGGCACTCAGGAGTGGCTCAGCACTGAGAGGTGGGCGCAGACTTCTTTTGTGAGGGTCACACTTCTGAAAAAGCAGCAGCCACCAAGGACCCTGCAGCAGCAAGGTGAGTGGCAGTGGGTGCAGTGATTGCACGCAGCTCCCGGGCGCTCACTGGGAACACAGTGAGGCTGAGAAGCCCAGAAGCTCCAAGAATGGCCACACAGGGCGGAACATCTGAGGCTCTGTGAGCCCTGGAGCATCCTCCAGAGAGGAAGGTGATTTGCCAACAAAGAGCCCCTAAGCACTCTGCCCAGCACTGAGAGCAGCCGGAGGTCACTCAGCACACCACGGCTGTGGCACTGATCCTACAGCTGCTCCCACAGCTACTGTGAGATGTGTCAAAGGCAGTGCATGACCTCCCTCCTTCCACATGGGGTGAGGAAGTCCCGGTGCTGTGACAGGCAGTGGCACGCTGGCTTACCAGCACTGCTCTGAAAATGCTCCCAGTAAAGCATTCAGCAATTAGCCACTGCCTGCCCTCAGCCCTTCACTCAGTGTATGTGGTATAGAGCTTCTGCAGTAGTGTATAGTGTATACATGTGCACACATACACAGCGTATTGATTGCTGTATACAAGGACACTCACAAAGCAAATGCACTGAAATTTGACGTGTCTGATCCACCTACAGTGTGGACCAGCAGTGTGCTGTGAGTACAGGGAACCGAGGGGAGCACCTTTTCTTCCCATGTGCACTGAGGATGGACACATGGGAGATTCCCTGTCCAGAGGCGCACACATGGAAGACAAGCAGGGCAAGTGGGGCTGGGGTTGCCACACACTGTGCTGCTCATGGCCCAGCTGGGACCAGGTATGCTGCTTGCCATGGGATCCCAGTGTCTGCAGGCTCTCGGGAAGGGAGGGCACAGTGTGACATGTTGGTAGGCTGGGTGCAGACCCCTGTGTCCATGAAATAGCCATGCCACAGACTGATCCTGGCTTCTCCCTCCTCAGAGCATGGCAGAGGGAGAAGAGAGGATGCCTGTGCCCCACAGAGCTGGGGCATCACCAGCTCACCCTGGGGCAGGTGCTGCAGGCACCGATGCTCCTTGGGACACCCTCTGCCCGAGCAGCCTGACACTTACATCAATCTCGCTGAGGATGACATCAATGATGCTGCCAATCACTATGAGGAAGTCGAAGACATTCCAGGGGTCCCCAAAGTAGCCCTGCCAGGAAAGAGCAGACCTGTGCTGGAACCCATAGAAATGAGAGCCTAACAAGAGGGACTTAGCAGACCCCACACCTTAGCTGCCAGGCTGTGGTGTTGCCCCAAGCACAGGGCTGGCAGAGGCTGCCAGTCCACTGGCAGCACCAGGAAAGTGAGCACCCCAAATAGCATCATCCAGGATGAGGAGGATCACCTCACTGCCAAATGCAATGCTCTGTGAAAGGCTATGGCCTGCTCTCACCTTGGCTTTAAAGGCCATGAGCTTGAGGATCATCTCCAGGGTGAAGAGGACAGTAAAGGCCACATTGAGGATGTCTGAGACGTGGTTCATTTCTGCAGACTGGTTGTAATGCTGAGAAGGCAGGAGAACCCCATTAGCCCACAGCAGTCCCAGCCTCCCCTGTAAGCCGAGAGGCATGACGTCCGTCCTCTCCCAGACTCATGGCTCAAGAAGGGTCAGCAAAAATGAAAATCCACTCCTTGCAGCTCCCCTCATCCAATCTGCCCCACTTTGTCCCTTGCCAGCAGCATGGCCATGTAAGAAAAACCCCAGGAAGGATTTCTGGGAGCCATGGGCACCCCTCCACCCACCAAGCCCTGCACTCCATCCCTTACCTGCATGCCCAGGCAGATGGTGTTCAGCATGATCAGGAAGAACATGAGGTACTCAAAGTAGGAGGAGGTGACCACGTACCAGATCTGGTACTGGTAGGGGTTCTTGGGGATGTACCGCCGCAGCGGGCGAGCCTTCAGTGCGTACTGCACACACTGGCGCTGGGGAGAGCAGGGCAGTGTGACCACGTGGAGCTGCACGGGGCAGCGCCAGGGCACAGGCACAGAACACAACCCCGTAGATGCCAGCCTGTAGCCCTGTGACGGGGGGCAGGGACAGCAGTGGTTGTTACTGCTGTGCTCTCTGCAGAGGCAGCCAGGTGGCACTCAGTGGGGACAAGTTTCCAAAGCCACCGCTTGCCTTTGCAGATGGCCATGTTGATTCCCAAGCCCTGAGGTTGCCCAGGCCCAAGGAGTTCTGAACACCTCCAAAGGTGGAGAATTCTGGGCAACATGTTCCAGTGCTTGACCACCTTCACCATAAGTATTTTCTTATGTTTAAATGGGATTTCTTGTTTTCTTCAGTCTGTGCCCATCACCTCTTGTCCTATCATTGGGTACCACTGAGATAAGTCTGACTCCGTCTTCTCTACACCCTCCCCATCAGGTATTTATGCCCAGAGGTAAGATTCCTACAAGCCTTCCCTTCTCAACACCAAATAGTTTCAGCTCTCACTATTCCTTTGCTGGACTGACCCCATGCCCACGCCTCTTGCACTGGGGAGCCCAGAACAGGGCACAGCCCTCTGCTCCAGCTAGTGGGCACCACAAATCCCATCCTTGATTCTGATCAAGCTTGCCCTTCCCTTGGAAAGCTGATACCTGGTGCAGGCTTTCTTTGTGCCAGCCAGGAGTGCAGCTGCACCTGCCCCAGCAGCATGCTGAGACCTGGGGAAGGTTCAGTTCATCCTGGGGCAGCAATGCCAGCACTCAGAGCTGATGCAGCTCAAGTAGAGCTAGGGCTGGTCCAGCTCACCCCATCCCAGCAGCTCCAGTACCTGGTTCTTGTCCAGCTCGCAGTTCTTGTACTCGCTCTCCCCCTGCTCCTGGAAGGTGACAATGACAAAGCCCACAAAGATGTTCATCATGAAGAAGGCAATGAGGATGATGTAGATGATGAAGAACATTGCGATCTCCACCCGGTAGTTGTATATAGGGCCTTTATTCTCATCATTAGTGTCAATGGCCCTGTACAGCAGCCTACAGGAGGGAAAACAAGGCAACAGAGACCCCAGTTAAGGGGAGGAAGTCCATCTGTCTTCTTGGAGGATACGGAGAATGCTGGGGACATCCTAAACCCAAAAGAGGTGGAACAGGAGCTCATCCCATTGGCTCTACAGCCCCTACCAGGCTAGCCCTGCTGCTCAGCCCAGGCAGCATTTCTTTCCCTGGTAAAGGCTCCCCAGCTCACAGCACAGACCCGGCCCTTTGGCCCTGCACACACCAGACTCACTCTGGCCAGCCCTCGAAGGTGGAGACAGTGAAAAGCGACATCATGGCTGAGAAGACATTGTTGAAGTGAAAGGCATTGTGGAACCAGACCCGCTCCTTCAGCTCGATCTGAGTTGGGTCCCCATCCACGTAGTTGATGAAATGCCCCCTGCGGCAGAAGAGATGCGGTACTCACCCAGCACAGCCCCTGCCCACCCACTGCTTACCCCTGGGAGGGGATGTGGCCTTGTGCTATTTTTACCCCAGGGTGAGGGGCAGCAGCACAGGACCCCCAGCCCCTTATTTTTATCTGCAAGATCCCCATGCAGGCACAAAAATGTCCCCATACTCTCTGCTGCTGCCCTGCTGGGCTGCACTGCGGGGAGCTCTTACCTGCACTCCTTCTCTGTTAGCTTGGAGGGATCTGTGCAGCTGTAAAACTTGCCCTGAATTTGACAGAGATCAGAAAAAGCTGTGATTTTGCTGTGAGCTTCGACTTTTGCACAGACCCATCAGTCCCTTCCCAGCCACCATGCTAGCTCTGGCCTCTGCCTCAGCCCAGCATGCTTACGTGCTGCCAGCACAACCCAGCCTGGAGCTCACAGGGTGCCCTGGGGCCATGGCAGACCCTTTGGTCAGTCCTAGGTCAAGACAGACAAACACTGCCTAGTGATGCAGTGGGAACGTTTCTTCCAGAGCCCCAGGCTGAGACATAACCAGCTCATCCTGCCTGGCAGCAAACTATTCGGAAAATAAAGAAAGATGCAACCAAAATAAATGAACTAGAAGTTAACACATGCTGATAGGTCAGCTCAGTCTGCAGGGAGTCCTGGAAGCTATCCCCACATCAGTTAGGAATTTAGGCTCAGTTTTTAGAACAAAGCTGCCCATCTCCTGCCCATCTGAGACATCTCTCACCTTGAAGAGCTGCACCCCGATGCAGGCAAACATGAACTGCAGCAACGTCGTGACGACCACAATGTTACCAATGGTTTTGATGGCCACGAACACACACTGGACCACGTGCTGCAGAGGTTGAGGACAGAGGACACGTGAATGTGCTTGCAGCAAGGTCTCACCATGTGCCCCTGGCCCATGATAGCAGGGACAGCCCCAGCAAAAACAGACATGTGTAAAGCAGGAATCTGCCAAGGGGCAGTGGGATGGCGCAGGCTCCTTCTGTAGATGGGGTGTGGGAATTGTGTTCCCAGCCCTGTGAACCCTACAGGGCGCAAAGCCTGCCACATAACCTCCCATGGGTTGAGGACCCCAGCCACCTTCTTACCTTCAGCCCCTTCGCCCTGTTAATGGCTCGCAGAGGCCTCAGCACCCTCAGCACCCGGAGGATCTTCACCACTGAGATGGTGCTGGACCTGAGGAGGAAGGCAGGACTGAGACAAAGCAATTTCCTCCATGCTGGCACTCCAGCACAGCCCCACCAAGGCTCCAGTGCTGAGGGATGGCAGAGATGTCACTAAAGCCATCATCCCACATCAGGGTTAGGGACACAACCACTTGGACAAAGCGACTCCAGACTGAATTCCCACCCAGAACTTTTCCTTTGTCACTCAAGGAGTTTGCTTCCCAGCCTCCCGGTCACCCACGCCTGATGGCCACAAAGCTACAATTTTGGGGTGCTAACACGCAGCCCAGGGTTAGCAGCTCCTTTTCTACCCAACAGAACCAGCTGCACCACCCCAGCTGCCTCACCAGGCCAAGCAATCAGTGCCCGCTCCACAAAGCATGGAGGTGCTTACTCGAATCCCATGGAGATGAGGGACACAGCAACCACCAGCAAGTCGAGGATGTTGAATGAGTTCCTGCAGAAGGAGCCTTTGTGCAGGAAAGCACCGTATGCTGTCATCTGGAGAGCAGAAGGGGTTAGCAGAGCAGCCAGGCAGGGCTCAGGGCAGCGTCCCTCTGCAGCCCCAGGCAGACAGGGTGCAGGGAGCTTCTTGCAGCTCTGCAGGCTCTGTGCTGCTCACGCTCTGGCTCTGAAGCCAGGCAGACAGCTGGCTGCAGCTGGAATCCTCTGCATAGCACTGGCTGGAAGCAAAATTCTTCCAGTCATTCAGCAAATTGGAGAAGAGTACATGTCTTACAGTGAGAGCAATATGCAGCAGCTGCTTGAATTACTGTTTTACTTCACAGATTGTCATTGCTTACTCTTTCTGATTTTTTTTTCTTAACAAAAACGCTGTCGCTGAAGCCCATCTGTCCCAGCACCACAGCACAGCTGACACAGCTGCCTGACGTGACTGCACAAGGCCCCTGGGGCAGATCATGCATTGCCAAGACATTATGAGCTCTGAGAACTTCAGGCTCAGCTAACAGCTTCCCCTCGTGGGGCCTGGCACTTGTGCCCATGGCCAGAGCACATCTAGACCCATGTGCTGGGACCACAGAAGCACAGAGAATTACCTTCAAGACAATTTCAACAGTGAAGACAGAAGTGAAACCGATGTCAAAGTATCCAAGAATCTGGGGGCATAAGCACCAGAATTAAATGAGAGTTGGGTGACATGAGAAATGCAGTAACTCCAAAAGGCCCTCTGCTCTGTGCAAGGAGGAGCACAGCCCTGCGGAGCCACACAGGCACCTGGTTGCGGAACGACTCGGCTCGGATGGGATCCTCAGCTGCCAGGGAGATGCTGCTGAGCAAGATGAAGAGCAGGATGAAGTTGGTGAACCAAGTGGCGTTGACGATTCTGTGGCACAGCATCCGAAACCTGCAGGGGACAAAGACAGCATAAGACACTGCAGGAGGGACGTTAGATGGGGGCCATGGTAGCCAGCAAGAGAATTCTGGCTAAGTCTTGAGAACAGAAAGACCCCAGGCACAAAAGGATATCTGTGCCAGCAGCAGGGAGAAGGCTCAGTGCTTACTTATTTGTTGGGCTGAAGATGAAGAAGGAGCTGGCTTCAGGCATAGGCACAGCCTTCTCTTTCAGCTGGAGCTCTGCCAGAGGACGTGGCCGAGGACTCAGGGGGATTTCAGGCTCATCCTCCTCATCATCACCTGCAGGGTGGTCAATAGGAAGATTTTTTGCAAGAGAGGCAGTGTAACCTCAGTGCCCCGATGTCATAACCTTCACTACGTAGCCAGGCTGCGATACCATCCCTCTGCAACATCCCACTATTTCTGGGGACAAGACTGACCTGGGAAGTCTGCGGAGGGGTAGGGATCCTTGATTTCATTGACATTGGATTCAAATTCATCCACTTTTAACTGAAAGAAAGGAGAGACCAAGAGGTAGGCATGCAGGTAAGTGTGCCACATTCAGGTGAGCTCCAAGCCTTTGTCAGTCCTGGCTGGGGGCAGGAGGCACCTGCTCCTTCACCAGGACCTCCCCAGGGCCCAACCCACCATCACTGACCTTGGCTGTCGTGGGAATCCCTTCTCCCTTCGCTTTCTGCTCAAGCTTCTTTGCCAACATCTGCTTTTCATCTTCAGACTTCTCTGGGTAACCTCTGAGTGGAGGGCAGAGCAAAACAAGGACAGAACTCAGGGAAGGGGCACAGGTAATGCCATTCAGTCTTGGTGCCCACCGCCCTGTGCTGCAGCACTCACCTGGACATCTTGCGCCGCTTGCGTTCCTCAGCTTTGGCCTTCTGAGCTGAGGTCAGGCTCTCAGCCTCAGCCAGATTATCAACTGCAATGGCCAGGAAGACATTGAGGAGGATATCTGGAGGGCTAGCACTAAGGATGAACTTGGCTATTTGGAGGATATAGCCAGGGCATTCTGTGATCTCTGGTTTGCTCTGAGAAACCTTCCTAGAGATGAGCCCTGGCTGGTGATCCCTGACCCTGTGTATTCAAGCGCTGAGCTCTGGGCTGATGGCCCCATCCTTCAGCTCAGTCCTTACATGCACACACACACACACACAGCAATCTGCACAGTCCTGTGCAGCTGGAGCAGTCTATGGGGGTGGGTAGACACAGCCTTGACATCAGAGGATACAGTTCCCACAGACAAAGAGGATGATGAAGTAAATGCAGACCAGCATGCCAGGGAAGGATGGGCCCCCGTAAGCCATTATCCCATTGTACATTATTGAATTCCAGTCCTCTCCAGTCAGGATCTGAGAGAAGAGCAGACATAATGTGAGGAGAAGCAGGACAGAACCCCAAGCTCAGTCCTGTGCTCCAGTGTCACTGCCAGATCTCACATCCTGCTCCACCCCTGAACCTACACTCTTCATGACCCCATTCCTATCTTCCTGTTCCAGCCTCAAAGCCAGACCACCTCCCATGAACCCATACCTCTCCTAATTCCGACGAGTCCCACAGCCCAGGGAAAATCCAGGCACCCCATCTTATATCTCCCTTGCCCTGCTTGCTGCAGCCCCATACCTGGAAGACACTGATGAGGGCCTGGGGGAAGTTGTCGAATGTGCTGCGTCGGACTTCCATGTCCTCAAAGTCATACATGCCCCCAAAGAGCTGCATGCCCAGCAGGGCAAAGACAATGATGAAGAGGAAGAGGAGGAGGAGCAGAGAGGCAATGGAGCGCACCGAGTTGAGCAGAGAGGCCACCAGGTTACTCAGTGATGTCCAGTACCTGGAGAGAGGAGTGTGCCAGAGGTGGAATGGGGCAACCAGTGAGTGGGCTCTGAGTGCTGGAACTCCTCCATCCAAGCCCGAGGAGGTGGAAATGGAGCTCCAGGAGTGGTGTGGCAACCAAGACAGCCTGAAGCCACTGGTCCTGGACCTCAGCACCCCCATTTATCTAAGCTGAGCACACAGAGCTCCAAGGGATGCCATGAGACTTCCACTAAGCCCCGCTCTGTCTTCCTCCTCGCTCTCACACCACGTCTTGGGGACAAAGAGAACACTAGCATGGCCTCGTTCACCACCGCAGGAGCCTGACACCTGGGGACACCAGCTCTGCTTCCCAGCTCCCACACCAACCTGGTGATCTTGAAGATGCGGAGCAGCCGGATGCAGCGCAGCACAGAGATGCCCAGGGGTGACAAGGTGCTGAGCTCCACCAGGATGATCTCCAGGACCCCCGCACACACAACAAAGCAGTCGAAGCGGTTGAAGAGGGACATGAAGTACTGGCGCAGGCCCAGTGCGTACATCTTCAGCAGCATTTCGGCCACAAAGAGTGCAAGCAGCACCCGGTTGGCATTGTCTGGGGGGAGAGAGTCAGGCCATCAGAGCATGGACCTGTTCATCTCAGCATGGCACAGCAGGAAGGGAAGGAGGACATACTGCCACATCCTGCCCTGCCACCATTGCAGCAATAGCAACTTTCCAAGAAGGACCCAGGAAAGAAGGATAAAGAGAAGGGTGACACATGCAGTCACGTTCGAGTCCACAGAGTGTGTCTGCATGCAGTGAGTGTACGCATGGCTGAGCTGTGTGTGTGTGCTACACGCCATATGTCTGTGAGCATGTGTGGTGTGATAACACACAGACACCTGCATGTCTCTACTGTGTGAGTGTATGCAGTGTGTGCCTATGTGCACTATGCATGTACACTTGTAAATGTATACATTCTGCCTGTTCACTGACAAAGAATATACTCTATGCACATATGTGCACACAGAATGTGTGTGCAATGTGTAGTTGTGCACATGTGGACGGTGCACACACACCTGTGTGCGTGGGCATGTCTGCACTGTCCGACAGTTGCTACGCCAGTGGCTGTGGATGCACAGTAAGAATCCACGCGTGTCTACATGGTAGTGAGGTGTCCTGGACCTTCCCTCTCCCTGGGCCTTACCTTGTACAATTGTCAGCCATTCAGGCTGGAAATGGTGCTCAGAGGCAATGGAGAGGGTGTTCAGTGCCACCAGCAGGATGACCAGCCAGTAGAAGAACTTGGATTTCACCACATCCCTGCACTTCCTACGAAACATTCGGTTCCAACGCCTCCACTGCCGGCTGGAGAGAAGGCCACAGGGTCAGCAGGGCCATCAGTGCCAGCAGAACACAGAGCAAAGCCACCTCTGCTTCCTTTTCCAGGGACTCTGCTCCTCCTGAGCACACAGCCCTTGGCTTTCCCCACAAAACGAAAAGCCTGGCCCAGCCAGGGCTGCCAGCCAAACCCAGGAGATGGTTCAGCCTGTGCATACTCACAAGTAGAGAATCCATTTGTTCATGCCCTCAAGTTCATACAAGCTCTCTGTCTCTGACCCTCCTTCATCCAACGGCATCATACCTACAGAGGGAACGACAGCACAGGCTGCCCTTCGAGCCCGTGGAAAGAACATGCAGGAGGGCATCTCTCCCAGAAGCAAGCCTGGAAGAGTGCCCCCATCAGAAGTGATGTGGAGAACCACTGTCCCAGTGAGACAGCAGAGACAAGCTGAGCAGGAGGCTGTAACTGCCAGGTGCAGCACGCCCAGCAGGCCCCAGGAACACCCTTCCTGCAGCAGGAACAGCAGCATCACCAGCACAGCGAAAACTGGGCTCAGCTGGGATGTGAGTAAATGCAGAACAGAAGGAGAGCACTGGCTGCAGGTGTGGAAGACGTGTTTGGTCTTTCCCCAAGCCCTCTTGGGAAACTCATGCATCTGCCAGTGGGAGAGCTGGTAACCCTGCAGTCTGCTAAGGACAGTGGCTGAGGTAGAGCTTCTGCAAAAGCATTTTGTTTCCTGGGTTTTTAGACAAAACAAGACTGCAACTTTTCCAGTGCTCACCCAGGAACCCAACCCACACAGATTGCTGGTACCTTCTCCTCTGGTCCGGTCACTGTCCATCACCTCCGCATGGGTGATCCAGTCCATGTAGCCCTTCAGATCCTCCTCCAGCTGCTGCTTCTCCCGCAGCTTCTGAAACGTGCCTCGTGACTTGGCCTTCTCACGCTCTTTGGTGAACTCCCTGGGACAAGGCAAGCAGCAGAGAGAGGAGCTGTGCAGAGGCCGTGTACCACAGTTGTATGGCAGACTGGTCCTTGGACAAGGACACAGCCTGAACTCCCCTAGCATCAAGAGACCGCTCTACTGACTGTTCTCTCTCTCTCGGCCTCATTCCATGATCCAAGATCACGGGATATCACCAACTCCTTGTTGGCTTCCCCACCACCACCAGCGCAGCTCCTCGCTGCAGGAGGCTGCGGCTAGACAGGCCAGCTATGGCTAAATGCTGCATCTGCTGATGGGTGCTTGTACTACAGGAAAAGGATTTCTGCACTGAGCTAAAATCTCAGACGGTCACAGAAGCTGGTACAAAAGGTAACTGGAAGTTCAGTGTTTCTAAGCATGCAAGGAAAAAGGCTGACTGAAAGAGGACAAGGAACAGAAAGATATCAAGGCTTTCTTCCCACACAGGCAATGTCCACACTCTGCTCACCAATCTGGCAAAGAGAAGGGACCAGGGCACTTACCCACTGAGCACCCCCAGCACCAGGTTGAGAACAAAGAAGGAACCAAGCAAAATAAGGCTGACAAAGTAGATCCAGGGCCATTCATTCCCAATGGCATCATTAACCTGGCAAGAAGAGAGGCAGATGATGTATCCTCAAAACACTCTTCCAGCTGTCTTTCCTGGGAGCCCCCAACTGGCTGCAGAAGCTTTGTTCCTCTGAAGGGAGTGTTTGGGTGGAATGTAAATTCTCCTGAGAGCCTAGCTCCTTACCTTAGTGGAGGAAAAGCCAGACGTAAGCATTTGGGAGCAGATTTACACATCAGCTTCATGCCTAAGCCTCAGCAAGACAGTCTCCCAAAGACCAAAAAACATGGTTTTTTTTTGTTGGAAAAACATTGAGTGGTCTATAACCTTTCCCAAAGCTGGGAGATAGAGCTCTCTGCTGTCTGTCTATACAGAGAGCAAAGGCTTCTTGGATAGTGACATGTGGACATGCGTGGTGCGTGATGGGATGTGCAGCACAGTGTGAAGATTGCTGGGGAAGGGCATCTTTCCATGGGGGCTGACCTAACCCTACTGAAGGGTCCTCCTGCGTCCTGCCAGGCAGAACTAGCATTCACCAGCACCGAGCTGGGCACCCAGCCCAGGCCACTGGAGCTCACCCAGTAGAGCACTTCGGTCCAGCCCTCCATGGTGATGCACTGGTAGACAGTCAGCATGGCAAAGCCAAAGTTATCGAAGTGAGTGATGCCGTTGTTGGGTCCCGGCCAGCCACCTCGGCACTCGGTGCCATTGATGGAGCAGTGACGCCCATGGCCAGAGATTGTGCAGGGGGCTGGCTTCTCTGACCCTACTGTGGCAATCACATCTGTGGGGAAAAGCCATAACATAAGTGGCAGGTTGAGCAAGATGAGCAGTTCCCAGCACCCCCAGATCTCCTGAAGAGGCTTTCACTACTTCCTCACACCATCCACGTCCTGTACCACACACCTTTCCAGCCTGCCACACCACACTCCCAGACTTTCTGCTACCACAGAGGCTCTGTGGTCCCCACAGCCACACAGAGGTATCTCTGACTTCTCACACCCCTGCCACAGCCCCACCTGTCCCAAGGTAGTAGCAGGTCTTGTGCATCTTGCCCTTGAAGAGCTCTTGCCCCACGATGGCATAGATGATGATCATGAAGAGGACGAGCAGCGCGATGTGGAGCAGAGGCACCATGGCTTTGATAATGGAGTTCAGGACAACCTGCAGACCTGCACCAGGGAGAAAGGAGAGGGCCTCAGCCCCATCTCAAACAGCTTTGGGTGCACCCTGCGTTCCTGACAGACCCTCTGAAATGCCCCACACCAAGGGAAGTCCCAACATGAACTGAAATCTCTGCAGCAATTTCTTTCTTTCTTTCCACCCACCATGCAGGCACCTGGAACACCCCAGCAGAGCCATTCTCCAGGCAGCACTGGAGACTATTTCATGCCCATTCATCTGTTTTGTTGCTCTCTTCATGGCTGTATCTACATAAGCTACAGGAAAATGAGAGCTCTGCCAAGAGAAACTAGAGTGAGACCCTGAACGCACCAACCACCCAAAGGTGCTGACACCAAGCCACACTGGGAGTTATTGCATGCTGACCTGCGATCCCAGCACTGACAAATTCAAGCAGCAGGGAGATGTGACATTCTGCAGCTCTTCCACATCCATAATGTGGCTGAGCATGGACCAGCAGCAAATGGAACCTGTCCTATGGCCGACCCACCCCACAGCCCCTCCTGTTAACAAGGGCCCGGCACTCACTTGGCACTCCAGACACCAGGCGCAGAGGTCTCAGCACACGAAATGCTCGCAGGGCCTTCACATCAAAGCCACCTTTCCCTCCCAGAGATCCCTCCTTTGCATTGATCTGCTCCAGGGTCATGGTGACAAGCCTGAAAGAGCCAGGGCACAGTGCAGGGAAGGGAAAGGGGAGAAGGAAGGAAGGACGAGGAGGAAGAGAAGTGCATGAGGACGGAGACCAGGAATCTCTGCTGGAGCAGCTGGTGCAGGCAGCTCTGCTGAGCACCCAGAGGCCCTCCCATCCTATCCCTGTGGGCCCATTCCCTGTGCCAAACAATGGAAGACACTGTGCCCTCCTGCTACCCAGGGCGAGGAGATCTGACAGGCACAGGCAAGAAGAAACAGGAGTTACAGAGGGTTCCAGGGCGAGAAAATGGGGCCCTTGGGAGGCCACGAGCTGATGCCTCAACTTGAGGTCAGGGCAAATGTTATTGCTCTCTACATCTATCTGAAAGGAGGTTGGAGCAATGTGAATTGGTCTCTGCTGCCAGGTAACAGTGATAGAACAAGAGGTGATGGCCTCACACTGCACCAGGGGAGGGTCAGGTTGGATATTAGGAACAATTTCTTCTCCAAAAGAGTGGTCAGCATTGGTACAGGCTGCCCAGGGAGGTGGTAGAGTCACCGTCCCTGGAGATTCAGGAAATGTGGAGATGCAGCACTGGGAGACACGGTCAGTGGGCACGGTGGGGATGGATTGGGGTTGAGCTTGAGCATCTCAGAGGTCTTTTCCAATCTTAGTGACTCCATGATCTTGCCCTAAAACCCCATGCTGTCACCAGAAAAAAAGAGCGTGGTTGACAGGCTATGGACCATGCAACCGGAGTGCCAGCAGCTTTCCCCCTTCATTACCCCAGGGACACGATGGAGAAGTCGAGCACATTCCAGCCATTTCGGAGATAGGCGTCCGTATGGAATAGAAACCCATAAGCTATTATCTTGAGCATGGCCTCGATGGCAAAGAAGATCAGGAAGGCGTATTCTAACTTCTCCTGGGGATTGCAAGCAGCAGAAAGCACTCTGTTAGAGCAGTGCCACCATCCTCCGCCTCACACCACACACGGCATCGCTGTGACCACTGCCCCACAGCTTTCCTCCCACAGCCTCTCCCACTGAGGCCATGCTGGGCCCGTCCTGCAGCCATCCCACAGCCGCCATGACACGAGCTGGCTGTGCCGTGGTTCCCTGGTGCCCCCCAGCCCTCAAGGCCCCCCACCTAACACCAGACACCAGTATGGCAGATTGAGCTGCTGGAAGGAAACCGGCCCTGGGGCTTCACCATGCAGAGCTGTGCCTGCTGCCAGCTGAATCCTGGCACCCCGCACAGCCACCAGGCCCGGAATAGCTTGGCCTCCATGGGAGCATGGCCAAGAGCTGGGTGCCCACCTGGCTCTGCCTGTCACTGCCATTGCAGCCAGACATGCTGATGGCTCTTTCCAGGTCAGGATTAAAATGCCTCTGAAGCAGTCGAATGAACTGGGATATTTATATTTCTGGTTTTCCACGGCCCCCCTCCTCACTGTGCACCCTATGGAGGGCATGGAGCAGCCCTGGGCTCTGCAGGGAATGGCACCCAGAGGGCAGGGGGAAGCAGCACACCGTGGCTCTGCATCCCCCCCAGGGCCATCTGCCTTGACAGATAGAAAACACCGCCCATTTACCAGCAACCAAGGCCAAGGCTCAGACAGACGCAGTGCTTGCTCAGTTACCACGTCCACAAGCAGTGGGCATGCCAAGTGTTCCTGCACGACTGCCATCCTACAGCACCAGACCTCGCTAGGTCTGTGGGAAGCAGTGGTGAGAACAGAGACCTCAGCACCGCACTTACGGGTGTTATCAGGGCTGCACCTTCAAGCGTTCAGCTAAGGCAACTCAATGCTTGCCTTCCCTGTTTATCAATGACGGATCCCTCATGGCCCATCCTTGCAATCCCAGATACACAGACACAATTACCACACACGTTTCAGAGCAGCAGCTGTCAAGGCCCAGGCTGGTCCCAGAATCAGCGCCCAGCCATCCAGAAGTGAACTCCTGGGCCAAGAGAGAGCCAGCAGGCAGCCCCTGCTACCTGAGTTACCTCCATCCTTGGAGACTGCAAGCATCTGTATAGCACCAGCTCTGTGTTGTGCTTTGCAGACCCAATCACATACAGAGAGCTGGATCATCCTGACCTGTCCTGCTGGTTAAACCTCTCTGGAACTAGGACAGCTCACAGCATGGTCATTAGGTGCTATGCAGGGTTCCATCAGTGCTGGTTGGAGAGATCCCCCATAACCTGTCCTACGGCTGTGGGTCTGGTTTCCCCTTCCTTGTCTAGCTGTAATCTGTAGACAGATGCTAATGTCAGCAGAGGAAAAGCAGGTCCTGACTGTTAGTGTGTCACTGGGCTGAGGTGGGACAGCCTCTCATTCAGGCAGACCACAGCAAACCTCTGGATTCCCCACATTTTGGGTGTAGCTGCAGGACATGCTGAGCAGGAGACTCATGAGGCCACAAAGCCATGTCTTGAGCCAGGACAGACTTATTGCTGCCACTGGATAGCAGCAGAAAGCAGCCAGGGGACGTTTTGTCCTGGCAAGGTTAATACCTGTTCTGGCACCGCCCTGGGGTTGGGTACACAACGAGCCCAGCCTTTACAAAGTACTATAAAAAGCTGTGGATCTTCATAGCCTGCTGGGCTGCTGCACAGACACATGCTTCAACAATGTTAGGGAACATGGAGTAACCTGACCTGCAGGCTCTGAATGAGACCCAGCAGCAGGAATAACACTGTGCACCACACCGATGCAATGCAGCACGACACAATTCCAGCCTGCAGAGCAACATCAGCTCCCAGTCCCTGAGGCCACACAGGACGCTCCAAAACTAGCCACCTCTTTCCCTGCAGTCCCCAGCCATTGCAGCATCTCACTGCTGCTGGAAGGAACGCCTCCAACGAGGCTTTGCTGCTCTGTCTGCAGCACTGCACAGAGCACAGCATCACCCGCGGCAATGGGCATCTGGCTCTGCTCACAGCAGGGATTGCTCATCCGAAGGCACCAGAATGTGAAGACAAAGAAATGTGCAGAGTGGTGCTGCCAGGCTGCTGATACCCAGGGCTGTTGGTATGGCAACGGGCTGAGAAAAATAAAATTGGGAAGAGTATTAAAAAAATAATTTGTAATAAATACAAGCAGATGAAATTTCTTCATACAATTAGCTCGGTGAGGGCCCAGCCACGTGTGCCTGTCCCACAGCTCTGCACCCACCTGCATTTTGTTCTCAGCCAAATCCCATCCACTGCTGCCACCCCTACCTCTTGCTTCTCCCCTATCACTGCCATCCCCATCCCTTGGTACAGACCTCTTCGCCTCTGTAACCTCTCTGCACCTTTCAAACCTTCTCACATCCCCACGGCCAGGGAAGAAACCTGCTCAAATAAAATCCTTTCTTTCTATTCCATATCTCAAACTTTTGGACTGCTTTAAGATTTTTCTGTAAGGGACAGATAGAATACAGAGAGGTGTTTTTAAGCCACAAGTCGCCAGCACTACCTGCACACAACATCCACCCAGCACTGGGGAGTCCTGAAATTAGCAAAGAGAACATTTTGGTATAAACAACATATTTGGATGCTTTGATTCAGTGCCCAAACTCAGACACAATAGAAATCAATACGGATTGAACTACAGTCGGGATCTAAGAGGGGAAAGAGACAGTGAACTAAAAATAGTGAAAGCTATTGATTTGGATCACACCAAAACATCTTATTCCAGGCAAGATGGAGGGACTGGAAACAATGGATCACGGAGAAGTGATCTCTCCTTAACAGAGGAGAGTTCTCTGGGTGGTTTATTTTTTCCTCTTTAAAAAAATATCCCAGAATTAAAATTCAGTTTAGAAATGAATGGCCAGGCAATTCAGTCCCAAATATGCTAAAACAAAGCATTTCAGCCTTTCTGGAACAGGAAGTTTCCTTTTGGAAGCATTGAGATTTAAAAAAAAAAAAAAAAAAAAGGAAGAGAGATATCCTTCCTTCCCGTGTACTTCTCACACCACTCAGCTGCCTTTGCCCTCAACCTACAGTTCTTTCCAGCCACTCTCCAGACCCATTCTGCAGTGGTATCTCTCTGATTTGTGGCCTCTCGCTGCACTGACACATGATGACACCCTGCATGGCAGCAGCCCTACAGATGCCATCAGCAGGTGCCCAGACACACTGAGGATGAGCTCCATGGAGCACTGAAGGCTGATCGCAGCTTTAAAGAGAGGAGGGTGGCAGGAGGGCTGAATCTCACCAGACTGGAGTTGGCCACGTTGGTGTCATCCTCCGGCATGGGCTGGTAGATGGCCAGGGCAACACAGTTGGCAAAGATGGTCAGGAGGATGATGATCTCGAAAGGTCTGAAACAGCGTTAAGGAGCAGAGAGAGAGATAGGAAAGCAGTCCCTGCCTGTAGCCTGTTGGGGTGTATGTGGGGGAAGCATAGGGAAACAGCCTCCCTCTGCCCATCCCTGGGTTTCTGGAGAGGAGTAGGAATTGAAGCAGGGTTAGACACAGGACCTGGAGAGGGGCAGCACCTGTACAGGACATAAGGGGACAAAGCACAGAGTGAAAGGCTGCAGCTGAGGAGTTGGAAACCTGGGAGTTCTCCCTGCTCGTCCTTCAGCGAGCCACTCTGAAGGCTCAAGATCCTCTCCCATAACACAGAGATCACAGAGCATTGCACTCCAGAGCATGGTGGCCCTGGCTGCTGTTGCAGTGCTCAGCTGCCAGGAGGGAGATGCTGCAGAACAGCAGACCTCAGGTGCACTGTGCCACCCCAGGCTGGCAGCTCAGCCAGCAGACACACAGCTCACACCTCAGCGTCCCACAGCCCACACAGGCAGCGCACTCATGGCTGTTATGCTGAGTGCCAGAGTCTCTCTCCCTCCATGGAACAGAGAATTGGGTCATCTGGGCCCTGGGGCACCTCTGAACGAGGGGGGTGGCTTGTTGTTTACCTCCAAGGCCCAGGGACAGCCACTTGGTCACTCCTACTGCTGTCACTGCTCTGCTGGGCCATTGAAACCTCAAGGTCAAGCTTCAGCTGTCACATTCCAGCAGTCCCAAAAGGGCTCACACTCCCACAGGACCTTGGCCATGACAAGGCTCCCACCCCATGGACCACAGCTTCTTTCAGCACAGCTCAAACCCACCACCCCATGCCACCCTGGAAGAACAGTAGCCAGCCATGCTCCTTTGCTGTCCTTTGCTGGTCGTATCCAGGCCACGCAGGCTTGTGCTCCAGCTGTGCACATGCCTAAAAGCAAAGGAGTCTTCTCTGTGCACCTGGTGGCCCTGTGCTGCCAGCTCTAGGTACAGCATGGCACAAAACACAGTAAACGTTTTTGGTTCCAGTTCACTGCTGAGTGCTTCCCAGTTCTCCAATTCGTTTGCCTTTCCCGCACCCATCAGCAGCACTGGAGCAAAGTGCAGGTGAAGGAAATGAAAGTGCTGTTCCACCAGTAAATCAGCACGCTCCCCTGCGGCTGCTCCTCCTCTCTACCACCACAGTTACAACCACAGCCAGTGCCTACTTCTGAGCTATTTTGAGATCTGCCATCCACATCCCTACCTGTAACTACACTGTCAACTGCAAATCCCCCACAGTCCCATCCCACCCTGGGCAGAGCCTCCTGCGAGCACCTGCAGTTCAGCCCCTGAAATTCAGCATCCCAGTACAGCAGCCCTGAAGCCATACTAGCATTTCCCTACGCTATGGTTAATCAACTAATTATCTCCATTCCCAGATAATTACACAGCACAGGGCTGCAGCAGCATGCCACTGTCTGATTCAGCACCATAGGGTGAGCAACACCTGGATGCCTGCTCAAAGGGGGTGAAAAGAGAAGCCCACCCTGCCACCGTTCATCACAGCCTTTGTGTGGGTACAGGGATGGAGGCTGAGGGAGATGTGTGACTGTTTGATGAGAGCTGTGTAAGCAGAGCAGGAATCACGGCTCAGGTCCTGCCACTTCACCCAGGCAGCACAGTGCTGGAAGTGGATTTTGATTTCTTGTTCCCATGCTGCAAAGAGACTCTCTGACCATTGAGAGCAGAGCCCAAACTGGGGAATTCTCCTTTTCTGCTTCTGGGATGCCTCACCAGCACATCCTTCCCTGAGCTGTGTTTGTCTCAAATGGGCAATGGGTGTGGAGAACACTTGTGCATACAGCTGAGCAGCAGAGGAAGAGTTGGAAATAGGACCTATATCTTCCATCACGCTCTAACACATTCCTTATCCTGGGTCAGCACATGCCAGAGCATGCAGAGCACAGAGAGGACCTCTCTCACATCAGTGCATCAGGAAAGGAGTGTTGGGGGAGAGGTGGTGTGCCACCAGGGAGGTGTTTCTGACCTGGGTAGGACAAAGAATCCTGGGCACTGGATTTCAGCGGCATCGCTCAGCTGTATTTATACCCCCATGCACCTGACTGCCCTCATTTCAGGGTCAGGATGTACAAGCCCTCATAGGATAGTAAGGGATGTCAGGCCAGGAGAGCTGCCAAGTGGGGATTAGCTGCGACCATGTTCTGTGAGGATACCTAGTGTATGGGTTTGGTATCTCTGCTCTGCAGTGTCTGCTGTCAGAGCCACAAAGCTGAGGCACTGACATGGGACAGGATCTCTTCCAGGCAGCTGGAGAGCAGGCAGTATCATTACTCTCAGCCTAGGGTGGCAGAAAGGCTGAATAGAGGCTGTGCTTTTCTTCCACGCCAAAACATCCCAGTAAAGAGATGGCCAATCAACAAGCAAGTCCCAGAAGCCCAACCCTGAATTAAACCAGGGGCACTGAAAGATCATGCCCCCTTCAAAAGCATCACTCAAAAAAGTCTTCACCTGTGATGTCAGTACCAGAGTTGGGAAAAGGCAACAGCAGCATTGGCAAGGATTTGGCGGACGCTGGCAGCTCCCCCAGTGTGGCAGGAAGTGGGTGCAAGACAAGAGGTGATGCACACAAAGAGCTACCCCAAGCAGCTCACCGTGGTCTCACTGCCTAACCCCAAGCCCCTCACTGCAGTCTCCAGCTCCATCTTCAGCTGCTGCTTCCCAGCCCTGGCTCTGCTGCTCTGCCTGGCCCCATCCCCACCACACCTCTCCCATCCCAGCAGGCTGTCCTACAGGCACAAAATACATTCATACCCAGCAGTCCCTTGCCACCCCGGTTGTTCCTACAACACCACATAAAAGATCCCCATGGCTTCACAGCCCCAGCTTCCCATACAAGCTCATCTGACCCCAACTGGCACAACCATTGCCTTTAATACATCCTCCAGGAGTCCCCAATTGCTTTTCCTGCTCCCCCACTGGCTCAGTGGGACAGCCAAGCGCAAAGCCCAAGATGGCACCGCAGCAGCATACTGTGAGCTCTCCTCCTGCAGATCGAGGGTCCTGATCCCCAGCACCCCCACCTGAAGGATACTTCCACTCCACGATGCTGATGCATGCCTTCCGCAGTGGGTTCTGTAGGGTTAAGCAGAACAGAGCCCTGGCTGGCCGAGGGGCTACTGGTGGCACTGGCTTCTTGGACTTCTCCTTCTGTTGCCTCTTCTTTGCATCATCCTGGTGGGACGCAGACTCCATGCTGGTTCTCCTCACACTGTTTCTCCTCCTCTCACCCCACGGCTGAGCCCCCAGCCCCAGCCAGCCAGAGCTCCTCCAGATCCCCCTCTCTGAGGAGCCGGACTCTGGGGGCTGGTGGCTGCGTTCGCATGCACAGCACACAAAGCACAGATTTAAATTTAGATCCCTGGCTCCCGGGTGCTGTCGCAGCTCCTGAGGCAGCAAAAGGACCCCAGCAGCTGTTGCTTCCTTACCCGGCGCATTGCGAGGCGGGCGAGTGCTTTGCATGCCACTGAGCGGGCTGGGGGTGGGGACGGCTGCCTGGCACCACGCTCATCTTCTCCAAACGAAAAGTGCTTTTGTCCCTTGTCACCTCCTTTCCCAGTGCCCCCAGCCAGCAAGGAAAGCCAGGCAACCAGGAGAACACGTGCAGTTCTGTTTGTTAATTCACATTTTTGGGGTGAAATGAACAACAGGACTCTGGCCAGTCAGGCACTTTCCCAAGGAAATATTTTTGTGGCTACACCCATCAAGGGGCCTCAAAGGTGAGCTATGTACACATATATGCACACGCACAGTTCCTGGTGATAGCTACAAGAAGTTGTCATCCAGATACATCTGCCTTTTAAAAATTATATTTATTATATTTAATTATATTTGCTAGTGGTGGTTTCCGGTAACCTGTAATAAAAGGGGAAATAACACCTCCGTGTCCTTGTGCATTACAGAATCTCACAACCCACTGTTGCAATCTCTACACATGGCCCACACCGTTACACTCCTCCCTCTGTAGGATCTCAGCTTTGTCTGGTGTGCACTGCTCAGTTCAGCCCTCATCCTGTAGCTGTGGGGTCTTTGGGGCTGAGCACACCGTGCTGATGCAGGCAGGGATTAGACCCCAAACTTCAGACTCCACTGAGTCCAAAACATGCTCTGGTTTGCCGTTCCTGGGGGTGAATGAAAGACACAGGAATTGCAGCAGTGCAGGCAGAGAGGGGAGCTGTCAGCACCTCCCTGCAGCAGGGGAAACCAAGGCACAAGGAGTCGGTTTTGCTGGAGCAGTGAACAGTCACACTAACCATACTCCCATCCTCCTGAGATGTTATGGCCGAACACAGCCATATCCCAGCCAACACCCTGCACCACAGCGAGCTGATCAGCCCACTGCATGGCGCTGCCCAAAGTTTCCCTGCCTTCACTTTGCACGGTTCACTTAACCCGCTGTGGAGCTGGCTCTGCTGGGCACCGGGAGGATCCCTCATCTCATTTAGTCCTCGTTCTTCCCCCTATCCCTCTGTGGAAGCTTAACTTCTGCTAATGCCTCCTGCAGAGCAGCAAGGGCTCGGGGCCCACCTAGTGGCGAAACAGCAGCGGGCAGGCTGCACTAATGGGACACCAGCAGCACGGGACCTCCAAGAGCCACAGAACATCCCGAGCGGAAGGGAACCACAGAGATCCCCGCGTCCGACCCCCGGCGCCACCCAAACCCTACGGCTGAGAGCGGCGCCCCGATGCTCCCCGAGCTCCGGCAGCCCGGGGCTGAGCCCACCGCCCCCTGGGCCCCCGACAGCTCCGTGCCATTCCTGTGCGGCTGCCGCCAGAGAGCAGAGATGAGCGCCGCTCCTCCGCCAAACAAACCAAGGCCCTCAGCCGCCCCTCATCCTGCCGCCCTTTCTTCCTTTCCCTCTCTCCGCCGCCCTGCGATAACTTCCTCCCTTCTTACAGCCAGGTGAGGCCGCAGCAGCGCAGCGCGGGCCCCGCCCGACCCACAGCGCCCTCCAAGAGGCCTCTGCAGGAAACTTCAACCCTCGGGCACCGCCGGTTAAAGCCGCCTCAGAGACACCTCCGAGCGCCTTCCATCCGCAGCAGCCCTCCCGCAGGACCCCAGTCCCACCCCGCCGCCCGAAGCCGCCCGCAGGCCGCGCGCTCGCCCCGCCGCCGCCATGACACCGCCGCGCCGGCACCGCGTCGTGCGTCGTGCGTCGTGCGTCACCACGTCGGGCGGCGCCACGCGGAGGGGTGGGCGAAACCATTCGTGGGAGAGGCGGGGGGAGCGGGCGGGGCCATTACGTGTTGGGGGGAGCGAGGGCGGAACCACTGCGGGACGGCGGGGGAGGGGTGACTCCTGCAGGGGGCGGCGGCCCCGCAGTGCCGGCAGCGGCCGCCTGAGGGCAGCAGCGCCCCAGCACCGCTCCCAGCACCGCTCCCAGCACGGCCGCTGCGGTCCGCTCCCCGCGCATCCCGGTGCTCCGCGCACCGCCACCCCGCCCCGCCCCGTTCCGCTCCCGGTCTCCCGGCTCCTGGGGAGCGGCGCTCCGGGTCCACGCGCAGCCACGTGCGGGCGGTGGCATCGCCGCTCTGCGGACTTTGGGGGCCGTGGGAAACCGGCAAGGGCCGAGCTCAGCCCATCCCAAGCACGGGAAAACCGTGATGGCTTCACCTCCTGCAGAGCAATTTGTGCCGTTGAGGAGCAGTGAGAGGAGCTTGGAGCTGCGGGCAGAGCCCCCACGGCGCCCGGACCCACGGTGCCGCACAGCGAGGCCAGCGGAGTCACAGAGCCACCGCAGAATCAGAGAATTGTCGGGATTGAAAAAGACCTTTGAGGTCATCGAGTGCAAACGCAACCCATCCCCACCGTGCCCACTCATAGGATCGGTGATGCTGGAAAAGACCTCTAGGATCACCCACCCACCCACCAGCCCATCCCCCCCATTCATAGGACTTATCAAATCATTGCGGTTGGAAAAGGCCTTTAAGGTCACCCAACTCAGCCCGTCCCGCCGTGCCCACTGACCACGTCCCTGGGGCGCAGCGCTTCCCAAATCCCCACCCACCGCTCCCGTCCCTGGAAACCCACAGCCGGAGGGGCCGGGGCGGCTCAGGGACGCAGAGCTGAGGGGAAGCCCTCGGGTCGGATGGTGGCGTGGCCGCCTTCCGCCCTGGCGTCACCGCGTGCCGGCGCGGAACAAAACAAGCCTGGAGCGGGGAGCTGCCACCGGCACACGGCTCATGAATGGGGCTAAGAATAGATTTCCTGTTTACTGAGCTGCTGGGGCAGAGGGCACCCGGTGCTATTTTTGCCACTCCTGCCCACCCCGCTCCCTATAGGAGCACTGAGCATCCCCTGAACGCTATGGGCCGTGAGCATCCCCCATACAGGCACTGTGGGACCCAGCACTGCAGTCCCCCAATGTGTTTTCCCAGAGGGAAGAGAGCCTTGCACTCAGGACACGACCCTTACTCGGCACAGCGCTGTGGATTATGGCACTTTCTGCCTGCTCTTGGCCCCTCACAGGAGCAGCGCAGCAAAACCCCGAGCAGAAGTCACGTAGTTTCCTATTCTTGAGAATGAGGAAGGCCAGGGGCCACTTACTGGAATCCCCAGCCACAGCCCTCGCCGCGGCCTTTTCTTGTAAACACTGACCAAAATATATTGTGAAACCCACACGCGGCTGCTGCACGGGGGGCTGGGCCACCCATCACTGAGAAAACCCAAAACCGTGGCAAAGAGGGATCATTGTGGGTAGCAGCATCCCTGCAGGGACAGCAGCACCCTGCACTTGCCCTGAGCCCCATCCAGGGGCCCCAATCCCAAATCCCACACCCCAACCCCATATCCCAGCTGGGTCCCACAGCCCACAGGGATTCAGGAAGGTGTGTGGCTGCTGTCACCTCCCCAGTGCTATCCCAGCATCACACAGACATCGCTGGGAGCTCTATGGGGTGGGGGCTGGAAAGGGACAGGCTCCATAGGGTTTTCCTCTCCAAAGGCACTCCTTCTCTATAGTTGCTACTCTGCCAGGGATATTCTCTTGCTTGGTAATTGCAGATGCTGCACTCTGCTCTGCAAAATGGGTTGTGTGTTTTTTTTGTTTTTGTTTTTGTTTTGCTCAGTGAGGTCTTCAGCAGACTGCATCACTAGGGCAGCATCTGTGCTGGTTTGGGTTGAGGTATATAAAAGCTGGGCTCCAGAGGGGCTTGCTCTATAGCTGCTGGGCTCACAGGTGCATCCCTGCTGGAGCAGAGCTGGGGAATCCACACTGTGTGGAGCTGAGCTGCTGTTCACACCTGCCCTATGGATCTGCAACCCTGTGCTTGGTGCTGCTCCCATAAAGCCCTTTCCGGAGCATGGCCAAAAAGATTGGAGCCTCTAGTAATTGCACCCCACAAATTCCCCCCCTGGGAGCAATGCAAAGCTGAGGGTTCCCCAGCACCCACCCAGCTGCACCCCCTTCACACCACACTGCACCCCTTTTGCATTGCACTGCGTGCTGCAGACTCTCCCCAGGCTCAGGGGAGCTTTGGGAGGATGCAGTTCCTGCCTCCTTTCGACGGCCTCCAGCAAAGGGCGTCTCATGCAATGGAACCAGGTCGTACACTGCGGCGTCTGGCGAAGATGCAGGAGGTGTTTCCCACTGGCGCAGGAATTCACTGTTTGCGCGTGTGTTGGGGAACGGGGGAGGAGGGGGGAGGGAGGTTGTTATTATTTAATTTTATTTTCCTGCCTCCATCCAGGAATCTCTGCAATGTGCTGCTCCCGGGGAGGCTGGGGCAGCCGTGAGTCACTGGAACGTGACTCAGTGCCGCTGCTCTCACACAGGACATGAGCAGAATGCAGAATGCCAAAGGAGGGGAACAGCCCTGCAGTGCTGCTCAGACCCACATTTCTCACGGGGAGACCCCCAGTGCAATGGAAGCTGAGCTCCACGTGGGATCAAAGCATAGCACGGGGTCAGAGCACTGCATGGGGAGGTCCTTTGCTGAACCCCGCATTCTCACTGCATCATCCCATGGCCACGTGCTGCCTCTCCTTGTCCTCATGGTGATGGTTTCTGGGGTCCAGGGACAGTCTGAGCACTGTGACTCTCATCACACCCCAGGCATGGCCTCAGCTGCCTCCGTCAGCATGATGGAAAGCCAAGCTGGGCTGGCAGGCCCTTCTCTGTGATCTTGTTAATTAAGAAATACATTTAATTAGCAGCACCCCAGCTGTGACTCAGCTCATCATCATGATCGAAACAAGAGCTGGCGCCATGAACCCCGAACCTCAGCAGGACCCCATTGGGGTTTTGGGGTGGGTTCCCATGGGATGGGGTGGATTGGGGCCATCCCCGGGCACAGCCACTGTCACCCCCTCCCAGGGGCAATTTGCCAT